AGCTGGGTCCCCACTCCCTGGACGCCTTCCCCGTCCTCAACCAGGACCAGTCCCACGAGAACGAGACCAAGGTGTGCTGGGTGGGGTGGGGACACCCTGGGGTGCCCCAGGGGAGGTCACAGGGACTCAGGGGACACATCCCTGTCCCTGCAGATCGAGTTCCAGAAGGAATGTGGCTCCGACAACCAATGCTACAGCAACCTGCAGCTGCAGAGCAGCTTTGTCACCGAGCAGAACCAGCCCCTGCCCAGGTGACAGCGGGGCCCTGCGTGTCCCCTTGTCCCTCCCGGGGGTGTCACTGTGACCCAGGTGTGTCACTGTCCCCTGTCCCCGCTCAGGGTGAACGGGACCCAGGTGCTGCAGTACAGCCGGGACGTTCGGAAGCTGCACCTGAGCATCGACATCACCAACGTGCCCACGGCGCCCTGGAACGGCGAGGACGCGCACGAGGCGCTGCTGAACGTCACCGTGCCCCCCAGCCTGCTGCCCTCCTCTGTCCGCCCGGTATGGGGCGGGGGGGGGTCACCCTGGGGTCCCCAAATCCCCCCTGGGCTCGGCCAGGATGGTCCTGAGCCTCCTGTCCTCCCCAGAGCGGAGCCTGCACCTTTGGGGAGACGGTGCTGTGTGAGCTGGGAAACCCCTTCAAGAGGAACCAAAGGGTGAGAACTGCCCCCCACTGCCCCCCAGCTGCCCCCAACTGCTCCCCCAACCACCCCGGCCCTTCCTGGGGGTCCGGCTGAGCTGCTCCCCGTCCCCAATGCGTGCAGGCAGAGCTGACCATCACCTTCGAAGCCATCGGGATCATGCTGGACACGCGGGAGGTGTTGGTGTGGCTGGACCTGTCCACGTGAGTGGGAGGGGGCGGGACAGGGGTGGGAGGGTCCCGTTGGGATGGGGGAACATGCCAACCCCGGTGCCCCGGCAGGCAGAGCACCCAGGACGATCTGCAGCCCGTGCTGGCCAAGCTGCTGGTGGATTACAGCATCCAGTCCTCGCTGAGCATGTGAGTGTCCCCTGGTCCCCGTCTGTGTCCCCTCCATTCCCCCCACCCGAGCCTGGCTGTGTCACCCTCCGTGTCCCAGCAATGGGGCAGCAGTGGGGTGTCCCCTGTGCCCCTCACGCCGTTCCCATCCCCATTCCGTTCCCAGAGCCTCCTCCCACATCCAGTCCTACTTCAGCGGGATCGTGGTGGGCGAGTCGGCCATGAAACAGGAGCAGGACGTGGGCAGCCCCCTCACCTTCGACTTCCAGGTGAGCCGGGCGTGGCCAGCGGATTTGGGAATGCGGGAGAGGGAGGGAGGCGGATTTGGGAACTCCGGGCTCCACCTCCCGCCCTGCCCGCAGGTGACCACCAAAGGCGAGTCCCTGGGCACGCTGGGCACCATCCTGCTGGGCTTTGAGTGGCCCTACGAGATCCCCAATGGCAAATGGCTCCTGTACCCCACCGAGATCCTGGTGAACGGCAACGACACGTGCCACCCCCCCGGGGGGCTCATCAACCCCCTCAACCTCACCGTGAGTCCCCCGGTGCCCTCGGGGCCGTGTCCCTGCCCCACCGCGGGGGTCCCTCAGCCCCTCGGGCTCTGATGGCGCTCGTGTCCCCCCCTCAGCTCCTGCAGGACCAGGCTCCACCCCGGCACAGACGGGAGCTGGAGGCCCCCGAGGCGGGCGAGCCCCCGGTCACTTTGGCCACCGGCCGGCGCCCGAGGTCCGAGGCGGTGCTGGTGAGTGTGGGGGGTGCAGGGGGGTCTGTCAGGTCACTGTCGCCGCTGTTTGCTGAACCCCCGTGTCCCCTAGAGCTGCTCGGCGGGCACAGCGCGCTGTGTGTGGTTCGAGTGTCCCCTGCGGCACACGCAGCTCCCCTCCAGCTTCAGCCTCCGCGCCCGCGTCTGGAACAGCACCTTCATCGAGGTCAGAGCTGGGGCTGCGGGCTCGGGGCTGCCCCAGCCCCTGGGGTGGGGTTAAACCGGGCCCTGAGTGTGCTCAGGGGGCTGGCAGGCACCGCTGTGTGTCCCCAGTGTCACCTGTGTCCCTCCTCCATCCGTGTCTCCCCCATCATCATCATCATCCACGTCCTCCTCCTCCCTCATCCGTGTATTGTCATCCCTGTGTCCCCGCTGTCCCTCGCCGTGTCCCCGCTGTCCCCGTCCCTCACCGTGTCCCCGCTGTCCCCAGGAGTTCCGGGACTTTGACCGTGTCAAGGTGTCGGGCACGGCCACGCTGTTCCTGCGCTCGCAGGTTCCCACCATCACCATGAGGAACCACACGGTGCGGGTGAGCCAGGCCACAGCCCTTACTGGGCCAAACTGGGCGGGACTGGGGCCACGCTGGAGCTCCGTGCCCCCAACGAGGCCCTTCCCACTCCCCCCCACCCCAGTTCTCCGTGGACGTGGACTCGGAGCTGCAGGAGGAGCAGCCGGCCGAGATCGCGCTCTGGCTGGTGCTGGTGTCGGTGGCAGCCGGGCTGCTGCTGCTGGGGCTCATCATCCTCCTCCTCTGGAAGGTGAGGGGGGTCCCCAAATCCCCTTCCCGGGGACGAGGGGGTGCAGGAGCCGTGCTGAGACCTCGTGTCACCCCTGGCTGCCTCCTCCCTGCCTGGCGAGGGCGGCGAGGGACCCGCAGCGGGAAGGTTGTCCCCGCAGCGGGAAGGTTGTCCCCGCAGCTGGAAGGTTGTCCCCGCAGCGGGAAGGTTGTCCCCGCAGCTGGAAGGTTGTCCCCGCAGCTGGAAAGTTGTCCCCCCAGGTGGGAGGTGCCCCCCAGGTGGGAGGTGCCCTCCTGGGAGGAAGATTCCCGGCTGGAGAGGGATGAGGAAGAGGAGCAGAGACATTCCCAACACGTCTCGGGCTGCAGAACATTTTGGGATGCGCACCCGAAAAAGGGTGGATCTCCTTCCCTGTGGCTGCTCTGCAGGGACTGGGGAACCCTCACAGCCCCCCTGGGGACACCCCCAGCTTCTTGAAGCCCCCCTTTTACCCAGGAGGGGCTCGCTGGGTCTGCAGGACCCCCTCCATCCCGCAGCATTCCTGTGGGGCATCCCCCTGCCCCGCTCCCCCCACCTGCCGGGGGGTGCCCAGGACACCCCCAGCCCCTGTCCCCGGCCCCCCTGACCCTGTCCCCTTCCCTGCAGTGCGGGTTCTTCCGGCGGGCCAACACCCGGGCCATGTACGAGGCCAAGGGGCAGAAGGCGGAGATGAGGATCCAGCCGTCGGAAACCGAGCGGCTCACGGATGACTACTAACGGGGGGCACCCCCCGTGCCCCCCCGGGCACCGCGGGCCCCGCCTGGTAATGCCCCGTGGGGCCGGGCTGCGGCGGCATCTTCCTCCTCTTCAGCCTCCTCTCCTCTTCCTCTGTCCTGTAGGGTCCCCGCAGGGCTCCGGGGGTCTCTCCGAGCGGCTCCAGGATTGCTGCTCCCTTTGCCTCTGCTCTTCGCCGCCTCGGGGGTCTCTCTCCTTCTCCCTGACCCTCTCGGGCCCCTCGCTGACCCCTTGTCCTCTCTTTCCCCCCTTCTCCCAGTGTGACTTTTTCCAGCGGACCCGCTATTACCGGATCATGCCCAAGTACCACGCGGTGCGGATCCGGCAGGAGCAGCGCTACCAGCCCGGGGGGCTCCTGCCCCGCCGCCGCCGCAAGAAGCTCTGGGTGACCAAGTGGCAGGAGCCGGACAAGTACTACTGACCCCCTGTCCCCCCGCCCGGACCCCTGCGAGGGGGGCTTTGACTTTGCACAAGTGCATCTCTCCTTGTCCCCGTCCCCTCGGACGCGGCCGCCCCCGGCCTTGGCTCCCGCAGCCCCTCGGGGGCTCCCGCAGCCCCTGTCCCGCTCGCCCCGGGGGTCTCTTGCACGCTGGTGCCTTGCACGCTTGTGGGGGCTCCCGCAGCCCCCAATGTGCCCCCTCCCCGCTCCCCGAAATGCTGCTGGGCTCACCGAGTGCCTTCCCCCCGCGCAGACACTCCGCTCGCCACCTTCCTGTCCGTGCCCCCTGTCCCTCTGTCCCCAGCCACCCTGGGACACGTCCCGGCCCCTGGGACAAGCCGGGACACGCTCGCCCCCCTCCCCTCGGCGCTGGGACCCCTCTGCTTTCCCCCTTGGGGGTGGGTTTTGGGGGTGCTCATTCCCTCCTGCGCCCCATCCCCAGCCCCTCGGGGGTCTCCCCCTGCTCTGCTCGCAGCTTTGGCTTGGGGGGGTGCAGAGCTCCAGGCCGTGTCCCCCCAGCCCCCGGGGGTCCCTGTCCCACCCCGCGGGGTTAAATTATTCCGTGTCTCTCCGTGTCGGCGTTTTGGTGTCCAGTCCCAGTGTCCGTTCGGTACTGGGGGCTGCTGGGGAGGGGGTCCTGCACCCCTAGCTGGCCCCCAAAGCCCCCCTCCCTTCTTCGTCGGGGCCAAATAAAGCCTCGCTCTGGGATTTGTAACCTCTCGTCCCCTCCGTGTCATGGCTGGTGGGCTAGTGGGGGTGGGCTGGGGGTTTGGGGGGCTTTTGGAGGTGGGGAGCAAAAAGAGGAGGGGGGGTGATGTACCCCGGAAGGGGTAGGAAGTGATGGGAGGAGTAATGCGGGGATTAAGGTGGGCTCAGACGTCCCCAGACCCTCGGGAAAGGCTCGAATCCCCCCAAAATACCCCAGGAAGGGGCCAGGGACCCCCGAGGGGCTGATGGGAACCCTGATTATGCAAATGAGCGCCGCTGCTGCAGCGAGGGGCGGGGCTATCCCGGGAGAGGCGGGGCCCAAGGCGGAGCAGGCGCTGATTGGCCGCGAGGCTCGCGGTGATTGACAGCGGGGCGTGCCCAACGGCGAAGCCGGGTTGGCAGGGCGGGGGGGGGGGGTTTTCGGTAGAACGGGCGCTGATTGGTCGATGCGCGGTGATTGACAGCGGGTGTGTTGTTTGCGCGCGGCGCGGCGGGGGCGGGGCCGGGCCCGGGGGCTCGGGGGGCCCTGAGGGGACGCTGAGGGGACGCTGAGGGGACAGCGGGGGGCACCGGGGGGCACCGGGGGGCACCGGGGCCACAGCGGCGCCATGCGGCTGCTGCGGTGCCTCGGGAAGCGCGCGGCGCTGGCCGGCGTCCCCACCTACATCGAGCACTTCAGCAAGTTCTCGCCGTCGCCGCTCTCCATGAAGCAGTTTCTGGACTTCGGTAAATAAAGAAAAAAACCCCCGGGACCCCCGGCCCTGCTATGGGGACAGGGACAGCCCTCGCTGGGCACAGCCGGTGTGGGGGCGGTGCTGGGGGAGGGAGCTCCGTGCACACCCCCGGGAATTCCTGCCCCCCCTTCCTGGGAATTCCTAAATTCCTAACACCCCCCTTTTTTGGGAAATCCTTCACACACCCGCCCCGGAAAATCCTAATTCCCCCCGTCAGGGAATTTCTCCCCACCCTGTAAATCTGAGGGGTCTGGGGGCTCTCTTCCTCAGTGAGTGTGTGGGCCTGGGTAACTCTGGCCGCCCCCAAAATCTCATTATTATTGGGGCTGGGGGGATTTAACAACACCCCCCGGGTAAATAAGTGCGGGTGGAGCGTGGTTTCCTAATGGGCCCTTTTGGGGGTGTCCCCTCTGTCCCCCCCACCCCTCAGGGGGTGTCCCAACCCCTCCCTTGGGGGCACATCCCAGTAAACCCCCCCTGTGAGGGACCCCCAGACCCAGGGTGGGCAGCTGGGACCCCCCCAGTCCGATCCAGTGTCCCCCCCATTGGTGTCACCCAGCCTGGCCCTCTCTTGTCCCCTGTCCCCCCCAAACAGGGGCTGGTGGCTGCGCTCTGGGGACAATGTCCCTTGTCGCCAGTGCCCCTCCTGCCTTGTGGGATGTCCCCCGATTGGGGACCCTGGGTCTGTGTTGGGTTCTGGTGGTGGCCCAGGTCCTTCTCCCCTCCAGATTGCTCTCGGGGGTCTCCCAGCCCAGTTTGGGCTGTTCTGGGTGGCACTGGGCACCCAGCCTGTCCTCCCCCATCAGCCCTCCCTGTCCCCCCAGTGTCCCCCAGCCCTCACCCCCTCCCCAGCCAAGGACCAGAACCCGCTCCTGTCCTCTGTCCCCAGTGCCAGAGGGGTGGCAGTGCCACCAACGCTGGCTCTGGGGGTCCCGTGGGTGCTCACCCCGTGTCCCCCCCGTGTCCCCCCGTGTCCCCAGGCTCCAGCAATGCCTGTGAGAAGACGTCGTTCGCGTTCCTGCGCCAGGAGCTGCTCGTGCGCCTCTCCAACATCATGAAGGAGATCAACCTCCTCCCGGACCGGGTGCTGCGCACGCCCTCCGTGCAGCTGGTGCAGAGCTGGTCAGTGCTGGGGACACGGGGACACGGGGACACTGCCACCGCCCGGCCTGGGAGCTGCCACCCTGCCCTGCTGGGGGTCCCACCCTGGCCACTCACCTGGGGTCTCGCTGCCACAGGTTGTCACCCTCTGGGGTCCCCCCAGTGTCACAGCTCTCAGTGCCACCGCGGCTCCTGTCACCTCAGGTGTCACGAGCACCGTGTGTCCCACAGCTGTCACCAGCTGTCCTCTCCTCCAGGGAGCTGGGGACAGGCTGGGCACTCCCCAGCCGGTGCTGGGACAGACTGGGAGCTGAGGGGGGTGACACAGGGACAGGTGACAGGCTGGGCACTCCCCAGCTGGTGCCACACCGTGCCCTTGGCTGACATGGGCTGCAGGTCCTTTGGGGACACTCCTGTGCCACCAGGGTGTCCCCAGCCAGCGGGGGGGGCCACCAGTGACACCCGCTCCCTGAAGGAGCCCTGATGTCCCTGTCCTGGGGGGGGTCTGAGTGTCCCTTTAAGTGTCCCAGTGCCAGCAGCATGACCCGTTTCCCAGTGCCACCACGTGACCTGTTGTTTGTCCAGTGTCCCCACTGTCTAGTTTGTCCCGCTGCCAGCAAGATCACGCCATGCCAAGGGGTCAGGCCATGCCAGGGGGTCCAGCAGTGCCACTCCCTGTCACAGCCCCAGCCCCACCGTGACCCCAGGTGTCCCCAAGGGCCCCCATGCCATGTGGGGTGGGACAGTGACCCCTGGTGCAGCAGACTTTGGGGTGTGGGCCTGGGCTGAAGGGTGCTGGCCCTGCATGGTGTCACCTGGGGTGTCCTCTGTGTTTGGGGGTGCCAGCTGTGGGGTGTCCGTGTCCCCCCAGGTACGTCCAGAGCCTGCTGGACATCATGGAATTCCATGACAAGGACCCCGAGGACCAAGCCACGCTGGGACAGTGAGTTGGGAGGTGACAGAGTGTCCTTGTCCCCAGTCCCGGGGTTTGGGGTGTCATCCCCTCCCAGGCCCGCGCTGGTGTCACCCCAAAGTGCCACCGGAATCAGCTCCGGGTTTTCCCAGCGCCCTCAGCTCCCGGGGAATCCCGGCCTGGATCGCGGCCGTGGCCGGATCGGGTGTCCCCAGCGCTGTCGCTGTCCCCGGGGCAGGTTCACGACCGCGCTGGTGACAATCCGGAACCGGCACAACGACGTTGTCCCCACCATGGCTCAGGGGGTCATCGAGTACAAGGAGACGTACGGGGATGACCCCGTGTCCAACCAGAACATCCAGTACTTCCTGGACCGCTTCTACCTGAGCCGCATCTCCATCCGCATGCTCATCAACCAGCACAGTGAGCGGGGGGCTGGGGTGTCCCCTGAACCCCCCCGAGTGTCCCCAGAACCCCCCGAGTGTCCCCTGAACACCCCCGAGTGTCCCCAGAACCCCCCGACTCTCCCCAGGCCTCTGTCCTCAAGGTCCCCACCAACCCCAGGGAGCTCCCCAAGGTTCTTCTTGTCCTAAGGGTCCCCTGCTAAGCCCAGGAGTTTGTCCTGAGGGTCCCCCATCATCGCTGGGTGTCCCCAGAATGTCCCCACAGCCCCAGGGGTCTGTCCCAAGTGTCCCCACTAACCCCAAGGATTCTCTGTCTTGGGCATCTCCCCTGGTGTGTTGTTTTCCCACAGCCCCAGAGTACCCTGGGGGTGTCCCCAGCTGTCCCTGGGATGCTCTGGGGGTGTCCCCAGCTGTCCCCGGGGTGTCCCCAGCTCGCTGTCCCCTCCCCAGCCCTGCTCTTCGATGGCAGCACCAACCCCGCACACCCCAAACACATCGGGAGCATCGACCCCCACTGCAACGTGGCCAACGTGGTGAGAGGTTGGTGGGGTCTGGGGTCCCACCCCCACGAGGGAGGGGGGATTTGGGGGGTGGGGGTCGCTGGAAAATCCCCCTGGGACCACTCCTGTCACAGGTTTGGGGTGGCCTCAGCCAGAGCGTCCCCTGAGCTGTGCAGGAGACCCCAAAAACTTCTGGGATCTGTAGGGATGGGGGGTGTTTGGGGGCGGGAGGACCCCAAAGGCTGCCCCTGTTGGTGCTGGGGGTGCTGAGCTCTGTGTCCCCCCCTTTGCCAGACGCCTACAACATGGCCAAGCTGCTGTGTGACAAATACTACATGGCCTCACCTGAGCTGGAGATCGAGGAGGTCAACGGTGAGGGGACAGTGGGGACAGTGAGGGGACAATGGAGGCCCCGGGCAGGGGGATTTTGGGAGGCTCCTTTAGGTTTGGGGATTCTCAGGTGGCCCCTTTAGGATTGTTTTTTTGTGTGGGTTGGGGTCTCCATGGCCGGGAGTTCTCAGCTCCTTTAGTATTGGGGTCCCTGTGGGATGGGATTTTTGTGTGGCTCGTTTTGGGTTGGGGTCCCCATTTCTGGGGTTTCTCTGGTGGCCCCTTTAGGATTGGGGGTCCCTGTGATGGGGGGGACCCTCAGGTGCCCCATTTAGGGCTGGGGCAGCTTTAGGCTCAGGATTGTCCCCACCAACCCCAGTGTCCCCCCTCCCCAGCCTGCAACGCCCAGCAGCCCGTGAGCATCGTCTACGTCCCGTCCCACCTGTACCACATGCTCTTCGAGCTCTTCAAGGTACCCCAGCCCTTTTGGGGGGTCCCGGGGGGGCTCTGGGTGTCCCCCCTGACCCCTCCCCGGGGGCTCTGTGTCCCCAGAACGCCATGAGAGCCACGGTGGAGAGCCACGAGAGCAGCCCGCGGCTGCCGGCCATCAGGGTGATGGTGGCCCTGGGCCAGGAGGATTTGTCCATCCGGGTGAGGGAGCCCCGGCCGCGCTGGGGGAGGGTGGGGAGGGGACAGGGATGGCCTTGTCACCCTCTGTGTGTGTGTGTCCCCAGATGAGTGACAGGGGCATGGGCGTGCCCCTGAGGAAGATCGAGCGGCTCTTCAGCTACATGTACTCCACAGCCCCCACCCCCCAGCTGGGCTCCGGGGGGGCCCCCCTGGTACGAGACCCCCACACCTGGGGATGGGGGAGGAGATGGGGCTGGGGGGGTGATTGGAGGGGGGCTGGAGTGGCCTGGGGGTGTTTTGGGGGTGACTGGGGTGGGCTGGGGGTGTTTTGGGGGTGACTGGAGTGGCCTGGGGATGTTTTGGGGGTGACTGGGGTGGGCTGGGGGGGTACGGGGAGGTTTGGGCTTGGCCTGGGACCTTTTGGGGACGCTTAGTGTGGCATGGGGACACTTCGTGGTGTGGGGATGCTTGGGAATGGCATGGAGACACTTTGGTGGGGTTGGATGTGGCATGGGGACACTTCGTGGTGGCAGGGCCCCCTCTGGCCATTCCGGGGCCCGTTGCTGGTGGCACAGTGACTGCTGGCAGCACCGTGGGGTGGCCAGGGGTGCCCTGGGTGGTTCCCCCCAGCCCTGGGGACCCTCCCACCCCCCCAATTCGTCGCCCCCCAGGCCGGCTTTGGCTACGGGCTGCCCATCTCCCGCCTGTACGCCAAGTACTTCCAGGGGGACCTGCAGCTCTACTCCATGGAGGGCTTCGGCACCGACGCCGTCATCTACCTGAAGGTGGGTGCCTGTCCCCAAATCCCCCCCAAATCCGGGCTGGGGAGGGGCACAGGACCCTGCTGAGCCCCGTGTGCCCCCCCAGGCTCTGTCCACGGACTCAGTGGAGCGCCTGCCCGTGTACAACAAGTCAGCGTGGAGGCACTACCAGGCCAGCCAGGAGGCCGGGGACTGGTGCGTGCCCAGCACCGAGCCCAAGAACACCTCCACGTACCGTGTGCCCTGAGCTCCCCCGAGCCCCCCCGGGACCCCCAGACCCACCCTCGGGGTGTCCCTGAGTGCCCCCCGGGGGGGGGGGGGTTGGCGTTTTGGCACCCCGGTTCTTTGGGTTCTTTGGGTTCCGTGGGAAGCGTGGGATGTGGGGGTGTCCTGGCAGCCCCACCTTGGTGGCACTTAGGGACAGAGCTGGGGGGGGTTGGAGCAGCTCCCTCACCACCCCCCCCCCCACCAAACTTCACACCCGCCCCATCCCAGTAAGGGACTGGTTCTGTCCCGGTAGGACCAGCAGCACTTCCCTGCACCCTGATGGGGTGGGGGGGCCAGGCCTGAGCCCCCCATCCCTCCCAGCTTTCCTGTCCCTGTCTGCCCCCCATTATTGCACTACTGAGCTGTCCCCACCCCCGTGTCCCCCCCCACTTGCTGTGACCTGCTCAACCCCCCCCCCACCCCCCAAATTCCTCCCTGACCCCTCCCAGTGTCAATAAATTGGATGTTGACTGAACCCCTGGGGTGCTTTGGGGTCCTGGTGCCTCAGTTTCCCCCCCCAGGCTTGGGAGGGGGCCGAGGGCTCAGTCCCGGGGTGGCATTTGGGGACACGGGGCCTTGGGGGCTGCTCTGTCCCCCCCCCAGTCAGGTGACACCGGCCACTCCAGTTTGCACTGGCCCTTGATACCCTTTTATTTCCTGGGGTGGCTGTGGGGGGCCGGGGTTCGCTCCCTGCCCCCCATTTGGGGGTGCCCGTGTGTGAAGGTGCTGGGGGGGGGGAAGGGGCTGGGACCCCCGGCCCCTTGGGGGTGGTGACAGGTGAGGGTGACAGGACGGGCTGGGGGTGACAGGACAGGGTGGGGGTGCCCTCAGCATCCTGGGGGGGCCGGGCTGGGTGGGGAGGGGGCGGCTGGAGCCGGAGGGGCGGTGGGTGCTGCTCCGGGCTCCTTCTGGCCCCGCTGTCCCTCGGTGTCCCCTCGGTGTGTCCCGCGGTGTCCCGGGGGGCTGTGGCTCTCCCCGTTCAGCTCCTCCTCTGCTCCTGGTCCTTTTTCTTGTGCTTCTCCCGCTGTTTCTCCGCTTTGTCGCGGGCCTTGCGCTCCCTCTCCGCCGCCAGGCTCAGCTCCTTGAGCCGCCGCTTGAGCACGGCGCGGTCCTGGGAGCTGCCCACGCCCAGCGCCTGCGGCAGCGAGGGCTGGGACCCCCGGACACAGCGCCCGGAGCTGCCCCCGAGCCCCCCGGAGCCCCCTGCCCCGACAGCAGCTCCTTGGGGGTCCTTTGGGATCGTCCCTTGGGGCACCCGCAGCGTTCCGCCCCATGGAGCGGCCGGCTCGGACAGAGGGGTTTGGGTACACAGGGAACCTCCCTTTGGGGCACCCCGAAACCTTCCAGAACCTTCCTGCCCCATGGAATCCCCCTTTGGGGCACCCCAAACCCTCCCACACCTTCCTGCCCTATGGAACCCCGCACTGGGCCACCCAAAACCTCTCCCCCTCCATTTTTTGGGGTCCCTGGAGCCCCCCGACCCCGCACCTTGAGCTTGGCCCCGTCCAGGAGCAGCAGGCGGGGTCCGTCCACGCCGTGCTCGGAGAAGTCCCGCACGTAGCGCTGCAAGCCCAGGCTCTGCAGCCACTCGCCCACCTGGCCACAAGTCCAGCCCGCGGCCGCGCCCGGCGGCTCCTCCAGCAGCTGCGCACGGGGGGGGTCAGCCGGGGGTCCCAGGAATTGGGGGGAGACACCCCCATGCCCCCCGCCCGTGCTCACCTCGTCCGAGGACTGGGACAGGCTGTGGTAGGGGTACGAGCACTTGGGGGGGCCGGGCAGGCGGGGGCTGGCGCTGGACGGGGGCGAGTCCTCGCTCAGCGTCGAGTCCTGGGCCAGCGGGAGGGGGCGACAGGGCTGGAGCCACCGCAGAGCACCCAACGACACCCCAGATCCACCCCAGAGCCACCCAGTGACACCCCAGCGCCATCCTGACCCTCTGGGGCCTCGAGTCCCGCCCCTAATGTTCCCTGACCCTACGGGGCTTTGTCCCCTGTCCCCAGAGCTGGTGTCACCTCCTCTCTCAGAGCCCCCAGGTCCGTCCCACCTGCCGGGCGCTCACCTGGGACGCGGATTTGGCGGGGCTGAGCCGCTCGTGGCGGGGGGAGCCCGCGGGGGACGCGGGGCCGGGGGAGCCGGAGCCCCTGGAGCTGTCCGAGAACCACGAGAAGGGCAGGAACGGGGAGCCCGAGGGGCGGCCGGGCCCCTCCGCCGCCTCCCTGGGGACAGGGCAGTGTCAGGGGCTGTCCCCGGGCTGTCCCCAGGGTGTCCCCAGTCTGTCCCCAGGGTGTCCCTCACCTGCTGCCCATGGACAGGCGGTTGCTGCTCTTCTCCTTGCGGCTCTTCCCAGAGGACGCCCGGCGCAGGGTGACCCTGGGGACAGCGGTGGTGGCCTGAAGGCTCTGTCCAGGACCCCTCTCATCCCTCCGTCTGTCTGTCCATCCCTCCATCCGTCTGTCCGTCCATCATCTGTGCCTCCACCTTCTCCCCCATCTATTTTTCCATCTTTCCATTGTACTTCTCCATCCCTTCACCCCTCCCCACAGCCCTCTGTCCCTCCTCCCCCTGCCCAGGCCGGGCTCTCACCCCAAATCCAGGAATTTCCTCCTCGTTTTCTTATCGAGCCCCATGGTGGGGCTGGCGGGCTCGGAGGGGCTCATGTCGCGGCTGTCATCTGCAGGGGTGGCACCGAGCTGTCACCCTCTGTCCCCCCAGGGGTCGGGGGGGGGGGGGGGGGGGGGGGGGTCTCACCTTCGCTGTGCTGCCGGGGCCGGGGAGGGCGGCGGGCGAGGCCGGGGGAGCTGTCGGAGCTGGGGCAGGACTGGGGCGCGGGGGGTCCCCAGAGCCCCTCCTGGGACGGGGTGTTGGTGAGGGGGCGGTAGCGGCTGAGCGGGGGCGCGGGGGCCGGGGGGTCCCCCAGGCCCGGCCGGGCCACCCCCGGCTCGAAGGAGAAGCCGTCGGTGCGGGAAAAGGGCGAGGGGGCCGGGGGGCTGCGCTCGCCCTCAGTGCCCTGCGGGGACACGGGCAGGGGGTCAGACCCCTGCAGCCCCCCCGGGCTGTCCCCTAGACCCCCCCTCCTTGTCCCCAAACATGGCATCCACCCCAACCCCATCCTTGGTGTCCCCAATCCTTGGGACACTCCCAACCATGACATTCCCTGAGCCCTTGAGGTTCCCAATCCCTGGGACACCCCCAGCCCTGGCATCCCCCAATGTCCTCCCCGATGTCCCTGGTGTCACCGATGTCCCGGTGACCCTGGTGTCCCCAGTCTCCCCAGTATCCCAGTGTCTCCAGTGTCCCCGATGTCCCTGCTATCCTTGTTGCCTCCGATGTCCCTGGTGTCGCGGTGTTTTTGGTGTCCCCCATGTCCCGCTGTCCCCAGTGTCCCTAGTGTCCCTGTTGTCTCCGATGTCCCCAGTGTCCCCGCTGTCCCCGGTGTCTCACCGCGGCCTCGGGCCCCTCGTCGCCCTCGGTGGAGCTGGCGCTGTCGCGCAGGCGGGAGCGCGAGGGCCGCTGGCGGCGGCCGCGGGCCAGGAGCCGGGCGCGGGCCTTGTGCAGGCTGCTGTCCAAACGGGGCGTCTCTGGAACCACAGCGGTAAAATCTGGGAGTGAAAGAGACACCGGGGCACGGACAGACGGACGGACGGACACACGGACAGCGGGGAGGGATGGGATGGACACGGAGAGAGCGGGAACGGGGGTGGTGACAGAAGGGTGGATGAGGAGGGAGGTTGGGTGGATGGAGAGAGGGATGGATCCATGGATGATGGAGGGATGGATCCATGGACGATGGAGGGATGGACGGACAGACAGACGGATGGACAGGAGATGGAGGGAGGGATGAGCAGCGAGGACAACAGGGAAGCGTTGGACACAGGGGGACAGACAGGGAAGGCCAGCCCAGTGGAGAGGGGACAGGGGGACAGGGCAGGGGAGTCAAAGGCGGGTGGGCGGTCCCAGGAGGACAGGAGGGGGCACAAGGAGAGGGGAGCATTGGGGACATGGATGGGGCACCCCGGTGGGGCAGGACAGGGGACAGGGGGACAGAGAGAAGTGTTCAGAGATGCCCCCATGGGGACAGAGGAGTGGGGTGGCCCTGAGCACAGAGCGTCCCTGTCACCCAGGAGGGGACACGCTTTGCCCAGGTCCCACCGGGATCCCCCCAATATCCCCCCCTGTATCCCAACCCCACCCCAGGGGTGGCTCTGGGCGGTGTCCCCTGCTGTCCCCATCACCCCCTGCACACCCCTGTGCCCCCATTCCTGTGTGCCCTGGACGTGTCCCCATGTCTTTGTCACCCCCCTGTCCCCTTCCCCACGCACATCCCCGTGTCCCCAAGCCCAGATCGGGGGTCCCCTCTGGACACAGGGGGACACTGAGGGGACCCACGGGTGGCTCTGCAGCCCCAGGAACTCACCAAAAACCTCGTCCGTGTCCTGCAGCTTGGAGACCGACATGGTGGGACAGAGCTGGGGACACAGGGGACACTCAGGGGGGAGGGCCCAGCCCCTCTGTGCCCCCCGGTGCCCCCCGGTGCCTCCCGGTGCTCCCCGTGTCCCGCGGTACGGGGGGCTGGGCACACCCTGTGCAGCGCGGCTGGGAAGGGGTTAAACACCCCCCCCAACCCCGGGGATCGCGGGGGATGGGAACCAGTCCCAGGAGAGGCCGGGACCGGGAATGCCGGACCGGGAATGCCGCTCGGGGATTCCTGTACCGGGAATATCGAACCGAGGGGGATGGGGCTGTCCCGGGGGAGGGGCAGCTCCGGGAATGGACCGGGGCTGGACCGGAGCTGTTGCACCGGGGCTGGGGCTGCACCGGGGATGCTCTGCCGGAGGATGAGGCTGTACCGGGGCTGGGGCTGTACCGGAGCCGTACCGGAGCTGTACCGGGACGGTACCGGGGATGCTCTACCGGAGGATGAGGCTGTACCGAGGCTGTACCGAGGCTGCACCGGGGAATAGGGCAGCACCGGTGCCGTACCGGGGCCGTCCCGGAGCTGTAACGGGGCTGTACCGGGGATGCTCTACCGAAGGATGTGGCTGTACCGGGGCCGTACCGGGGCTGTACCGAGGCCGTACCGGGGCTGTACCGGGGCCGCTGACCGCGGGTGACGCCCTGCCCGTTCCCTCCCCCCCTCCCCACTCACCCGCGCTCCTGGGGCATCCTGCTCGCCCCGGGTCTCCTCCCGCCGGGGCCGGGCCGGGCCGGTGGCGGGGCCGGGGGGAGCGGGGGGCGCTGCCGAGCCGGGCCGGGCCGCCCCGCCGGGCCGGGGGCCGCGGGGGGGGGGCACAGGAACCCGGAAACGGCGGGGGCGGCGGGGGCGGGGTCTGCCCCGCCCGGGGCTGAACGGACACCGAGGGGGGGGGGAAACACCGGGAGGGGACACGGGGACAGCAACACCCACGGGGTTCTGAACGGACAGCGCCGGGGGGCACCGAGGGTGCGGGGACAGCGGGCACCGAGGGACACGCGGCGGTGCTGAAGGGACAGCGACAGCGGCGGGACCGCGG